CTGTTCCAGATGATGACTGTGTACCCACTGTTGGGCTATCTGGCACGAGTGCAACTACTGGGACAAGTTTTTGGAAATGTTTACCCAAGGTAAGAAACCTGCCCTTTGACAGCAGTTTTGCAGACTTCCTTAACAAAAATTTGGCCAAGGTCTCATTGGTTTCCTTCACAGCATTAGGTACTTTTCAAAAGCTAATTTCACAATGTTTGTAGAGTCAAGGAATGGATAGGTGTGGAAAGTGAGCTTTCGCTTCAGGTGAGGACTGCTGCAGCTTTGTGGAGCAGAATGGGGGATTCTTTTGTTTTAACGGAATGTTATTTCAATAACCATAGGAATTTTGTCAACACAGTTCCTTTGTGTCATGCATTTATATGGCAGATGTGAAGTTGTACAGAAAAAAGTCTCTGTTCAGTTCAGGGTAATTTCTTCAGGTAGTCTTTAGAAGGGCACGCACACGTGCACTCTGCAGATTAAACTTTAGAATATAGTGTGTTTTTGGCTGTGCATTACTTTGTAATCATCCTTCTGGTTTTAAACAGACCTAATGGCTATATGAGTTTTTAGCTGTGTTATCTAGGTTGGTGTCCTGCTTATAAAAATAGCTTTTCACAGGCTAATTTTAGAGGTGGGCCCCACCCTTGCATTTGAACGCTCTGTGAACTCCAGGGAAGAGCTGATCCACATCTCAGTTTTAGTTTTTTAAATAAAACCTAGGGTGTTATATATTTGGAGTATTGTCTGACTTCGTCACAGCTGTGAAGTTGGCATTTATTTCAAAGTGAGTTTCTTATTTTATATTGTGAATTACTGTTGATGGAGGGAAAGAAAACAGCTCAAGAAGAAATGTCTATTTCCTCGGTGGCATCAGCAGTAGCAAACAGGTCTGGGAGGAGGTGGTTATAAATTTTAGGTTTCTTCTGGATCCTAAAATATGTATGCAAAGGTCTAGAAGTTGAATGCCTAAAATTAGGCAGCAAAATAAGTGGCTGCCTTTTTTGATGCTAAATTGTAAGCAATCCAACAGTAAGGAGGTAGTTAGGAACTGCTGCGAGTTACCTTTGGAAACAAGGCCTTTGATTTAAATGCTAAACACAGACATTGAAAAATAGTCATGTTCTTTATATTCTGTGGATGTGTCTCTTCCTATCTCCTCCTGCCAGTTACTGACCAGAAAGGTTTTCATTTCTCCCATGCTCTGTCCTAAAATCTGTAGCTGCCCTGGTTATCTCAAGGTTACTGCTCTAAGCTCTCATGGTTTCACTATCGTGATGATACAGATACTTGGTTCTTGTCTCCAGGATGCCCTTACAGGATTGCTTCACTGAATTTTTTGTTGTGTGTTTTTGTTTTTTTTAAAGACTCTTTACAGGGAAGTATTTAAAGTTAAATTCTCCCAGGCATGATGATATAGTAAGACATGCTGGCTGGCTCTATGTATATAGAGGAAAGTGAAAATTTGTATATGATTAAGGAACAAAAATGATGAAGCAGAAGACAGCAGAGCAAAACATGAAGTTTTATAAGGAGAGAAAATGAAAAAAGAAAGGAAATGAAAGCACTTTAAAATCTTCATTCTTATTACTGGTTCTGGATGTTTACATGATTTTTTATCTTTTATTTTCACTCTCCGGCTGTTGGAAGTAGGGTACAGGATTGTTACTGATGGCACATCCACCCCTTGGTGTATATAGCACATTTGCCGATGTGTTGGTTTCACCTTGATTGTGCGTTGGAAGATCTCTCTTATTTGGCAGTTTAGCCTTTTTTGAACCCCTCTGATATGCTAAATCATATGTATTTCAACAGTTGCATATTCCTTGCATTAAACTTCCTTTGAAGCTGAAAGAATGTTGTAAATTCACCTTTTTCTCTCTATAACCATCCTTCCCCCACCCCCTTTAAAAAAAAATCTTTTGGCCCCAGTCCCCATGGTAAATTTTCCTATCTTCATTTTTAAGCTCCATATGGACACACTGCAGGTTTCACATGAACGGGAAGCTCCCTGCTATTGAAAGCCAAACTTCTTTGACTTGAGTAGTTGCTTGCAGATGGGAGTACCCGCTGCTGCTGGGGCTGGAGCTAAGGTGTTTTGGGTATCAGCTGGAGCCACTGAACTGAAGTGATGCATATTAAAGCAGCCTGTTGACTGAATAGCTTAATCACACACATGTTGCACTGCTTGCAGATTTTTATTTCCTAGCAGTGACTTTATTGCTCAGATCAGTTTGGTTCTTTGCTTTAAGTGTGCTTTCTTTACTATTGGACTGTCATTGAATATGACAAAGAGGTTTTTTTTGTTTGTTTGTTTGTTTTTTAACTTTTGCTGGTAGGCCGTGGATTACCACTTGCTGGTAAGCCATGGATTACATGGATGGTAGTGATGAACCATTTCTTTAACTTCAGAAGAGCCCTTCTTGTCTGAAGACTCATCTCCATGCATTGTCTCCCACACATCGTAGGCATTTTATGGCCCTGCTAACAACGCAGTAAGAACTCAACAGTCCTGCCGCAAAGCTTTGCTGTGCTTAGCTGTGGTGTAACTTCTCTGTATTCTAGTGTGAGCAAAAAGCTCATTCTTCCCACATCAGAGCTTAGGCAGAAGATGCCTATTTTTTCTTCAGGTAGAACCAAAACTGTGACATTTCACGTTGGTGTAACTTTTGCTTGAAAATAGACTCAGCCAAAAGAGTAGTGCTATCATTTTCTGAGTTCAGAACCTTTTTCCTTCAACTCTTTTGTGTGATAGTAACATTTTCAACCCACTCTGTAGGTCAGGAGAGAGGAAGTAAATTTTAATTGCAAATTCTTACATTTTTGCGAACTGTTTAAGTTTTTTTGTTTTTTTGTTTTTTTTTTTAATGAAGTATGAGAGAAGCATGAAGTATTTGGTGCA